AAAAAAAAAAAAAAAAAAACACGAAATTACTGTTCATTGGCAGATGGGCTTAACAAATAACAACTAAGTGAATAACAATATACGCTAACAGGATAACAAAATCCAAGTATCTAACTTCGAAATTCAATCACAAGTTTAACAGCAGAGCCGGGCCTGAACATTAATAGGCCCTGGGCAAAATACAAAAAGTAGTGCCCCAAGTACTTTGTTCTAATTAAGTGTAGCCATAGCAAAGAAAAAACAATATTATAAGATCTATAACATGTATCATGCACACTGATCATTTTAATCTTCGACGAGGTATTACATATATTTTGAGAGGTATTATATTTGTTTTGAGAGGTTTGAACAGTCTTGGACGAGGTATCATATTTGTTCTGATAGGTTTGAACAATTAATAAGTAATGATCTCCTTGCTAATAAGGAGCAAACTTGAGATCATATCTAGACTACTCCTATCTGCCAAGAAGTGAATAAATATCCAAGTATAAAAAGACTGGAAAGTTTGAAAGAAAATCAATTGAGCTCCACACTTAAAGATAAAGTAATTAAACCTAATCATTCAGCAAGCCAAAACACAAAACCGAGCCCAACGCACTCAATGATTCGCACACAAGATCACACCATTTTTGCTTTTTAAGCAAAGGCAACCACACAATATATATATACCAAATGTTACAAGAACCCATCACTCATTGTAGACGTTTCACCAACTGTCAACTATGACTCATCCATTTTCAAACATTTACCAATAGTTTGAAAACAAACTCACAGCCAGCCAAATAAACATGTAGAATTCAATGTATGAATAAATTAATCCATATGAAATTTTTTGAAAAAATCAGTATTTGTATAAGTCCAAAAAAAAAAAAATAATAAATAAACAAAATTGAGCTAGTTGACACACAAAACTACAGTGATTCGAGCAACTCAACAAAAACTAAAGAATAGTTTTCATTGGAAAATTCAGTAGAATCGACCTCAAGAACAGTAGAATTCGATTCATAGTTAAGTGAAAAATCTAAGCAATTCGAACAGAAAGTAGAAGCAAAAAGAAACTAGGGAGGAAAAAGAATATGAAAATTTGGATTGAAATTCTAGTTTACCTGGCAGTGGGAAATATAAGAACAAAAATAGCTTTCTCCTCTGAGATCACTTACGTCACTGATAGCACCAAATCGATTCTCTCTCTCTCCCCCCTTTTTCCCTCTATATGTGCCGTAAGTTAGTAACATTTTTTTTTTTTTGGTAAAACTAATAAATGTGAGTATTATATGGGAGTGTGTGCGGGAGAGGGATCGCGGCGTCGATTTGGGATTTCTATGCACCGAGCGTGGCCATCGGAGATGAGGAGATGATGACGAGCAGATGAGGAGATAGGAATGGGCTTATATATTAATAATTGGCTCAAACCTATCTATCTTGTGCATTTATTTCAGAATTAAACTATTAAAGACACTATATATCTTTTGAAAATATTTTATTCTTTAATTGCAATAGCTAGTGGTGTATTCCGATATTACTCTAAACAGCGGTTATTACTTTCATTTTTTTTTAATTCTTCTTTCTTTCTATTCTTATTTATCACGAGAAATACTTATCTTTTGTTATATCAAATCTACATCCAAAAATTTTTTCCGAATCCATATTCCGAATCTTTAGACAGAAGAATTTTTCGAGCAGAAAATACCATGGGCAACAGATTCGTCACGTTCAATGAAATTGACGCCGTCGTGATTGAAGCTCCATTGTGGTTGTGCAAGGTTGAGCTGTTCTCAAGCGGAGACTTATGGCGGACGGACCGACTGGTGGCTGAGCATGAGTGAGTGGATGGCCAGGGCATATGAGCGGCCGGCTACAACGATATGGTGTCGAACAACTTCCGGCATATTAATGGCCACTGAAATCACTGAAATTATGGTGTTTTGAGGTAGAAGATGAAATAAAGACAAATCTCATCTTCTCTTTCTCTAAAATTTAATGTTTCGCAAAGTTTTTCCCCAAGTGTGAAGAAATTTTCTAGATATTGTTTTCATTGTTAAGTAGCACAACCTGTTTTCTCTTCCTCTCAGCATCACCTCTAAGTG